GTCTTGACACTCCTACCTTTCCATTCTGACATCCAAATTAAATATTTCACGTCAACTTCCAATTAAAATTTCAAATCCCCATCAATAAAAATTTTCCATCCTCGAAACTCTTCATTAGCGTCACGTCGAGGCACTAAACAAAAAACCAGAAACACAACAGGAAATCGATTTAATTTTTCATCTTCATCTTTAATAAAAATTCACATTCATTCACATCATTTCCCATAAGAATCAACACCAATTATATCTCAGCAGTAAGCATCTCATCTCAGCATCATTCTCATCATCATCATAATACATAATTTATATATATAAAATTTTCACAATACATAATTACATCAACCAATTAAAATTTCATACAAAGATGTCTCCATAGACATATCGCGAGTGTATGAAAACAGACATACATACATTTATTATGTCAAGGCTGGTATAGGAAAATGTAATTAGTTTGAACGTCTCGATTACGCAGAAGAGTATAAAGATGTGAGCTGGAGAAAAAATTTAATTAAAGTACATGACATTAAATATATTGAAATTGTTACTGTTGCATGTCCTTGTCGTTTGCTGTGCGTTAACAGAAAATAAATGTCTTGGAAGCACGAAGGAAATAGAAGAAAGAATTGGAATAAGAAATTATGTGGCAATGAATAAGGATGTGGAGTTTCTTTGGCTAGTTTCTATTCAGGTCGAACTGATCTTTAACAAATGCTACTTGAATAAAGGAGTCTAATCATTTTGTGCTTGAAAACTCCAGCACTAGGTTCATGGATGCTCGTTTGTGTTTTCAAAGAGCATGCTGTTTATTTGGTAAATTATAGTTCCTGACGATATTATACTCACATGATCTAGATCTAGATGTGAGCTGTTTGGTGAAACCTAGTACGCCTGTGGAAACTATGCTTCATTCGGCAGTCAATTTAAAGAAATATGAAGCAGTTTGTTGTGGGTTGATTTCTCCCCCTTTGGACCAGAGATTTCTGTGATTACCTCATGTGTCTCGGATAGCTTTAGCAACTGGCCTCTGATATGGATCTTAAGAGTCTATCCAACCAATAGCACTACAAACCTAAATACACTTTCACATCATCCCTATCATCCACATCATCCTAACAATAATCACCAAAACTTTTTTATCTACTCACCATTCACAGTCCCTTAACTAACGCATCGTATCAAATTGCATGCTATACAAGAAACAATAAAACTGAGACAAAACTGGAGAGAAGGAAATCCATTAAGACAGAAATTGGCGTCATAAATTTCACCTTTTGCAGCATCAGCATCTATTCAACTTAATTCAATAAACTTACTATTTTTATCCATATTGTGTGTATGGATATTTTCGTCGTGTTATTATTTACCCGAACAATATTGTTATGATACAAATTACATGATAAATGTCTAGTTGAAAGGGGAGAATGAGAAATGAAAATGGGATATAAACAGACAAATAACATAATAGAACGTGCAAAGCATTGTAAACGTGATGAGATTTTTAAATAATCTCTTTCTACTGCTACTGATGCTGTTTGCTGAATTATTTTTTTTTATTTTTTGCTGCTTTGCTTTCTATGTGTGTGGCAGGGTTGGTCATTTTAAGAAATGGTGGTAGTCTGATTGGCTCTCCTTTGGTGCCATACCCTATTAGAATCAAAAAAGTATATAGATAAAAAGTACCTAATAGGAATAGCTACTGATGTTTTCTACTAGGGCTACATGCTAAGGCTAGGTATCGTTTAACAATTTTTGGGGTTAGAAAGTCTGATTTTTAAAAAAACAACCCATCTAGCTTGCATCCCAACCCTGCAAACACCATCAATGCAACTAATATAAAGCACCATTGTTATTTGATGGTCTCAACTCGAAAAATCTACAGCAGCACAGCAAAAAAAAATGAATCTCGTTAAATTTAGGGAAAGAATTGCATTTTAAATCAAATTAATTAAGACACGATACACACTGAGCAGCATCATGAAATAAAAATTAAAAATTCCATTCATGTTTTTGTGAGTTCCAAAAAAAATACGATTTATGACACTTTATGTGAGATATAAAAGGCTCGCAAAAATATTCAAAGTTTTATGCATAAATGATGAGGCAATTCCTCTTTATTGGTACGAACATGCAGTACAATGATGCTTCATCATTCATTCATAACAATTTTTTTTATCCATTTCTATTTTTTTTCATGTGCATAGACTTACAAATCTAACAATCTACATGTGTGTGCAATGGTTATGTCAATGTCATGCATTTTTTTTCGACTTTTCGACAATTGTTTGGCATCATGTTCTTGTATAAATTTAATTAATGATTTTTATGGAAGGGTTGATCACTTATTTAACTGGTTTTAATTAGAAGTAGGTTTAGAGACTAGATTGAATGAGTTATAGCTGTATTTTGATAGTTGTTGAGGAGTTTGAGGACAAATCTTCCTCTCCAAAGGTCCTTAAAATATAAAATATCGAATACATCTAAAAAGTTGCATTCTAATCCTCAAAAAAATACCCCCAATGAATATTTCATGCTGCACAGAATTCCGATAAAAAAAATTTGACTCTACATCTGTATGTGTCTACCGAGACAATGCAAATTCAACAAAACGTGAAAAGTGATAGGAATGGTGTACAACATAATGTACAGTATGAAAATAGTATTTATATCAATTCAATAGAGATGTATGCTACTCATAATACAAGCAGCATTTTGATACAATTTACATGAATGACATTTTGCAATTGTAGAAAAATGTTCAAATTTTATCAATAACTTTTCATATCTCTTCATATACAGTACAATATCACTTTAGAAATGCTTTTTTTTTGCTGGATGGAAAATATTCAAAATATTTTGAATAATACTTTTGCGTGCTACTTTAATGCTATTCATGTGCTTATGAGTCTCTTGAGGATATCATCCTCATCTTTTATAAAATCGTATCAATAAAGAAAGAATAGAAATGCTTGAAGATAAAGATGGGGGGAAATTTATGTATTGTTTGGGAATAAATACTTTTAAGACGAGCATGCTTGACTGATATTACGGATGGTCAATAACATGTTTTGTTACAGCTGCAGCTCTTGATGTTTTTTTGGGACAATTAATTAGGAATTCAGTTAAAATTGAAGAAATCTTGAATTCCTCGAGAGTCTTTGCCTTATTTCACTACCTACAGAGTTGGTGAATAGCACTGACCTTGTCTACGACTCTTATTCAGAACGTTTAGCTATGTACGACTCTGTAAACCTCTCCAAACGCTAACAATTGATCCAACAAATCATCACCAGCTACATAAAAGTTCAGACATAACAAAAGATGCAGAATCCAGTAACTGAATTACTTAGCCACATCAAACTCTTTCTAAATGCAAATCCTATTCAATAATTTCATTTTAAAACCAGACACAAAATTGTCACCTTTCAAAAGTCATCAATTCAGACATCCATTCCTCATTCTGTCCGGAAAATCTCTCAAAAATATTCAATATGATGCTGGATTGTTTATTATTTTCTGACCTAAGTTTGCAGCTATTTTGAGCAATATGTATGCACAGACCGAACAAATAACAGAAAATGTTTGAGGAACTAAAGGAACGAGTGAGAATCAATTTGAAATAATAGATCATTAGAAAGATTTTGCAGTTTGTTGCTTGCCTGAATTGTGTTATATGCAAGGCGTGGAAACTATCCCCAATATCCCATTTATCCCATATATCCCAAAAATATTCAAAATAATTCCTGAGCCTGTATGCATTAGAATTGAGATATCCCATCATATCCTGAAATTACACGTCCAATACACTAAGGACACGTTGGGATATCTTTATTATCGTGCATACATGCTCAGGAATTTTTTGAATATTTTTGGGATATGTGGGATAAATATGATATTTGGGATAGTTTCCACGCCTTGGTTATATGTCATCATATAAGGGAGAGAATCCCAAACATAGCACTACATTAGACAGATAGAAATGAAGCTTATAAGCCATACCGCATCACAATATTCTATTTCACAACATTGTTTGCATTTTGACGTGTCAAAATCAATAACATTTTCCATGTTACAATAACAGAACATGAACAGACATTTTTGTGTGATTTTCTCCCAGCAATAATGCCGTTATGCATGTGTATGCAGCAGAATAGTAAGTGAAAATTGGCATAAAAATTGTATTACCAAAACTGTCATATTCAATCCAACTTAGGCAATTAATTTTTATGGTTCAATGTCAAATGTGAAAAGTTTGGTTTTTTGATCTTAGAGCTGATAATAAGGCATTGTTTGTTTTGTCATACTCTCGTACGAGTGTCTCTCTGCCATCAAAATTAATCATCCACTCTCCTAATTAATCCAGCTAAAGCAATAATATGACAAAGATTTCGAAATGCTCGTTAAATCAATTTTTCCCTTACATTTCTATTCTCTATCCATTCAATTTTTCTATTACTTGTTGTGTACACACAATTCAAACTTGAACAAAAAGAAATTTTCGGTTTTATGTTTGCTTTTGATATCCTCAACATGTTGATTGTATACCATTAATTTTAATGACGACGCTTTTGAATGAAATGCTCGTGTAAACATAACTAGCGGTATGACATGTGCGTCTGTTGACTGATGATGAAGAATAGCATGGATTTAAGAGTTTGTGAATGAGTAAATAAAGATAGGAATAAGGGGATTAAATGTTTAATGACGATGCTGGAAGTTGTTTTTATTTTTGGAGGCTTATGAGTCAAATCTTTGAGATGTGTGCACTTGACATCAACAACTTATGTGTGATATAAACAAGATTGTGTTGATGACAAATTCGAAAAGTTATGATTAATTTGTGGGAATGAAATCTTATTGATTTTTGGTTCGAGCTTGAAGATTTATTTGCAGAAAGGAACAATTAATCATAAGCTTAAGACGACAAACTAGATTTAAATTGATTCACTTGATTTATTGTGAATTTTTGAAAGCAAGCTTTGCATTTTGACAATCTTTTGCAAATAAATTTCGACATTTTCACAAGAATTTAAAATTTTAAAGCCAATTGTAAGGAAGAGATTGCAGAACTATGTCCAAAAATCAGTTTGTCAGTGAATATGGAGAACTTTCGAATGAAATTTTATTAAATATTGCTGAAATTTTAACATTGAGGCTACCTGAAGGAAGTGGTGAGTATTTTGCTATGAATTTTGGATGAATTAAATAGTGTTGTTGGGAAGTGATGTGTAAACAACCTTGTTGCAATCCAAAAACTCGCAAATTCCATCAAATCTTTCCAGAACGAATCATTGCATCAAAATGGGTCAAAAAATTCAACGCTTGTGAGCCAAATTCCTATCAACAATATCTATCTCTTTTCGTAAGCTGCTTGACTAAGCAACTTTTAGTTGATCCATTTAATGCACCACCAAAAGACATGACAAGTCAGTGGCATACATTTTCAAAAGTGTACAATCAAGAGGACATCAACAATGCAGTTATTCATCGGCTTTATAAAGATTCATTCACTCCACCATATCAGCTTGACTTATCCAGTGACTTAAAAGAATATATAGCATTTCAGGAGATTCCATTTTTTGGTGCTCACTTCTATTATGCTTTCTCACCACGTGACAAAATTGATAAATGGACGAACTTTAATAAAATGAATGTACCTAAAAATTTGATTGAAATTTTACGAAAGGATGAATTTGTGGAATCTCCAATCAAAGGAAGGCTCTTCCCCAGACCACAATCGAGGCCAACGGAACCAACAAAAATCACCTTCAAGCCAAAATCACAAACCATGTTGTCGAAGAAAAAACCGGAATGGGAAGACTTAGTCGAACAAGAAAAAGCTGAGGCAGAGCCAGAAAGGAAGCAGCCAACGATTGTAATTCCAACAGATGTTTCTGTCAAAAATATTCCACCGGCTTTGCAGAGACGAATGGCTAAGGCAGAACAAGAAAGTAAGTCTATTTAATCCTTAGAATCTTAAACTTTCAGGATGAGTAAACCAAATGTTTCTACAGGGCAAGAACGTCTTTCCAAAAAATCACAAGAAAAGAAAGACCATGGAATGCCAAGAAAATTAGGAGCTACAAAACGATCAGTTTCCATAAAGCCATCAACATCTCAAAAGAAACCACCAAGATCTGTGAAAAACATAGTTGTAGAAGACATTGATGCCAGCCTAATGAGCAAAACACTCTCAGATACTCTAATGGAACCAAAATCACCAGAATTTAAAGGACCGCATGCTGATTTGCAACGTCGTCTGTTCCACTTACGTCAATCAAACATTCCCCCATCCGAGCTCATTAAAACGACACACGATATAAGTCAAATGTCGGCAGATATCAACAGAGAAGCTGAACGTTTACAACGTGATGGAACTGCAAATCTTCAAAATGTCGAGAGACTTCATAATACGGGATTAAGTGTTGGAAATAGAATTTTGAATATGCTGAAAGAGCATCAAGCAGAGCAATTGCAAGAAGCTGCAGAGAATGCAGCTGGTGCTTTAGAAAATGTTCGACTTACAATGGAGCAATTGGATGATATGTTAGAGCAAGGAGCACAAACGCATGACGAGACATTGAAAAGGTTAAATGCAATAAAGGAAAGAATGCAGCAATCAGCATTTGAAGCACAAAATGCTTCCATTCGAATGAATGAGATGAAAATGGGTCATGAACTGATGGGAGTGATGGACGGTATGTTGGATGTGAATGAAAATTCAGCATATCAACTTCAAAGCCTTCAGGCAGGAACGCAACAAGAAGGAATTTTGATTGAAGGACTTGAAAACAGTAGCCAACAATTAGCCTATGTTATTCAGGAACAGAGAGATAGATTGTCTAGAGCACTCGAAAATAATGAACCTGCTTTACTTCCACTTATTGAACAGACTGTAAAAACTGTTGATGAAATTCTTTCAAGTAGCTTCAATGAAAATATTCAATTGATCCAAAATGCAGACAAAACTCGAAATGCTGTAAAGGCAATAGAAATTGACTCACAAAAGCATGAACAGCTGGATGACATGAATGAACGAACATTACAAATTTTACATGATGTTGAACAGGCAATTTCGAAAGTTATGGATGTCGATGCTGACTTAATTGATATTGACAATCAGGATTTAGGATTTTCAGATATTCTGGATGAGAATGAAGTAGAAAAACAGCGTCAATTTAAATTGAAGGAACGACAAGAACGTCTAGAAGAAATTCAAGAAAGAAGCCAACTTGCGAACAATTTTAACGGTAATGAAACTCTTGTAGACATTAGTTCCATGCTAGTCAACGACATTCAAACTTCAATATCTGAAATTGATCAAATTTTAATTCCTGGTTTACAAAAATTGGAAGTAAATGCTGAATTTCCAAAAGATCGTGATGCTGTTCATGAAGCAATTGAAATTATTGAGCAACATTCTGAAGTTTTGCATAATTCATTGATGGAAATGGTAAATTTAAGAGAAGCTGTAGCTGATGAAAAGGAAGCACCGATTGAATATGACTTGATGACCTTTGAAGACGATGATTTGATTGAATTTGATTGAGAATAAATTTTTAGTCTGGTTCATTTTTAAGAGGTTTTACTTCAGCAACTTTAAAGGCTTTAAGGGGTTTAGTTTGATTCTGTACCTACAGTTGCTGGTAGCTAAAATGGTGTAGATTCTCCTGATAATATCCCTTAGGAATTATCAGGAAAAAGAAAGAAGCGGGTCTGACAAATCGATACATTCTAGCTGAGCCCACTGTTGCTTTTCTAAATTCAAGCTTGTCAAGGCATTAAAAGCTATTAATCTCAACCCTCATTCCTACCATCACTCAAACGAGTGATGCTATACTCACTCACATACATTAAGTGAGTACGCTACTTTACCCAACTGATAGCCATCACGTGATGGTAATCATGATGGCAATCAGTGAAGGCTATCATTGGCTTAGAGGATTTTTTATAAGCTGACATTTTGTAGAATTGTTATTTCTTTAATTTTTATATCATTAGTATTGAGATTAGATTAAAATATTAAACTTGAAAAATTACCGTTTTTGCTGATATTCGAACTCACACCTTCTAGATCACTCTTCATTGCAGAATCCTCTCACTTGTCCTCTAAGCCATTGCCTGTTAAAAAATAGATACTTTGTTTTCGGCAATTTGACATATTTAAATGTCCCAATTTTTTTAAAAATAAACTTGCATATTTCTTCGATGTTGATGTGCAATTCCATGAAAATTTTAATTAATTTAACTAATATTTTATTATATGTACTCAGTGAATGCAATAATGATTATCATCACCGACTACCATCAGTGATTACAATCCAATATACACCTAGTTTATTTCACAAAAATTCTTTGTTTTATTTGTTTTTAATTCTGACATTCATGTAAAATATGACATTCACTTTCATGTGATGATAGTAATGTTAATCATATTTTGTGGAAAATAATTTTTTGGTCATCAATGAGTGTAGTCGTGATCGCCTTTATGATTGCCATCACATTTTATAATTTTGGTCATCAAATGATGGTCATCACTGAGTGTAGTCGTGACTGCCTTCATGATCGCAATCACCTTTAACAAGCTAGGGCATCAAATGATGGTCATCACTGAGTGTAGTCGTGACTGCCTTCATGATTGCCATCACATTTAACAAATAAGGGAACCAAATGATGGTCATCAATGAGTGTAGTCGTGACTGCCTTCGTGATTGCCATCACATTTAACAAGTAAGGGCATCAAATGATGGTCATCAATGATGGTAGGCGTGATTGCCATCTTGATTGTAATTACAAAAAATCTGACATTCGAAAAAAAATTCTGTCATTCAAAAAGTTTAAGTTTTAATGAGTACAGTAATGATGACCATAGTGTTGATAGTCAATGTGGTACTCATAATGATGGCAGTCAGTGAGTTCCAGAGTGATTAACATCACTATGATCATCACTCCGAGTGATCGCCATCGTTGTATGTTCTGATCAGCTATAGATTCATTCGACTGACTTCAATCTTGAATCATTCAATTACAAAACAACATTCCACACACTTTTTAGATTAAAAATTAAGAATCTACTTCCTTTTCATGTCAACAATGTTCCATTATCTTCAGCCTTTAAACCAATCCCACATCCTCATGTCATATCCCAAAATAATTCACATTCAAATCAAAGCTATGCACAATATTTAAAAATTAGTCAACAATAATATTCTATGACAATGAAAATATCAAAAAAAAAATCTTGTCCTTTTCATTCAGCATCACAGCATGTCTGTCATCATATTTTGACTATCATGTCATCAGAAATGAAAAGCAGAGATATTACCAATTCTGAATTCTTTTGAAGAATGATGCATCAAAAGAAGATAATTTTCTGATGTCCTTTTCTGATACTGAGAATGGAGGTACTTCCGAGCATAAAAAAGCTTTACCATTAGCATTATAATATTTTTGGAGATGAAAAAAAATATTATTTTAAAAGAACGAAAATTCCTTTCAAATTAACTCAATCGAAAGTAATGAAAGGAAGAGATTTCAATCTGTGATGCTAATGCACACGTACAAAAGGAGAAGAAAAATGAGTTTCCTTTTTTATAAACTGCTTTTTTTCGGTGCTGATAGGCATCTTTTTCTCATAAATGGAAGGCAAGCGGCATTAACGAAAAAAAAGAGGATATGATGGCAAAAATAGCCATTAAAAATAAATAAATTAAAAAAATAATCAGAAAAGTGAAATCGTGAGAATCTGCAGCAACCGTTTATTTCCATTAACATTTTTTTTTCACCTTCCCTACCTCCTCGAAATAATATGAAATAAAAAAATTGTGCTGAAATTTTTTTTTATGGCTCTTGAACGAGGAGCTTGATTACACAGCAACATTATAAAAATTTAAATCAATTTTTTTTTGGCTCTTTCTGCTCTGATTCTTCGTACTTTAAAAAATCATTGCAGTGAATATTTTCAGGTGTTATTGGGGATTGTTATTCAAGTGTAGATGGGCTAGACTTAACTGTATTATGTCTGACTTGACATTAACCTCTCCCATCAGTTGATCTATAACCATGACTTCTATCAAATTGCATGTAATTTATGGATGTCTTATTGTTTTTAATAAGTTTTTGAAAATGCGCTACAATCCTCCAAAATCCCATCATGACTCCTGCCAATTTTCAACATTCCCATTTTATTGTTCATCATTCCATCATACTCCAATATCATCTTGAATATCTAAAGTACCTTTCATACAAATGTTACAACATTATTCTATCATTGAAAATGTATAAATGAGAAATAAAAGGTAAATGCATTTTGAGTACCTTTTTACATACAAATGCACATATTTTTATCAGAAAATCTCTCCACTAAATAGAATCGCTGTTTTTCATATTCTGTGCTCATTTTTTTCACACTAAATTATGTTAAGTTTTCATTTTTACTCGTAACTGGCACAAGCTTACATCTGCTACATGATTTCATATTATTTTTATTTTGTTGATTAAAAGGAAAGTTTTTTTTTGGAATAAAGAAAGAAGGGTTTTGTGGTTGCTATTTTTATCTATGATGAAGGTGTTAAATGAAAAGTTGCTATATTGAAAAAAAGGCTAATGAATATTGTTGGTAGTTTGTAATGGAATTGCATGCGTAGATGGTAATTTTATTGAAACTTTAGAATTTACTATGTTGGAGGCTAGTTTATGTTAGCTTTTGATACTAGCTACTAGCTTTTATAATACCTACTGGATAATATACTAGCTACTTGCTTTTATACTAGTACTAGCTTTTATACTAGTACTAATTTTTATACTAGCTACTATCTACTAGCTTTTGTACGAAGTACCAGCTTTTAAACGAACTACTAGCTTTTAAACTAGCTACTAAATCTTTGTTAAAAAAATATATTATAAAGTTAGGGTTTTCAATTTTTGGTTCAAAAAACTTAAGCAAATTTTATAAACTTTCTGAAGAAATTGGTGTTTAACTAAAGCAACCATATTTCCACTGACAAGGCCCTCGACTAGACAATTCCCCTAGTAGAGATTTATATATATAAACAAATGAATTTTCATAAAATGATTTTAAAATCTTAAAACCACAATTGTAAATATTTTCCCGGCATTTAAAACCAGATTTCACCACAATCACTAAAAAATCAATAATAAATTTTCATTAAATTAATCATTATGTTTACTTAATTGTTGACATTACTCCGCAATTATCACTGAGCAAATAATAAGTGCCCTCAACAGCTGATAAGAGTAAAGAGCTAATTGCAAAAAAAATATTCTCACGACACTTTAGTTTATGTTGTTCTGTGAATTGATTCGCATGTGATTCGCGAGAAAAGAAATTAAATATAATACAAATAATTTAGGAAATACAAACTTAATGAATTGAGATAAATTTAACGATTTATATTGTATTATTTTAACTCTAGTTGAATTGTAAAATTTGATAAGTTTTGGTTTTCCAAAAAAAAGTATTGATAAGCTTTTAACATTGAAACAAAAATAGAACATTTGAGTTATAAAAACAGAAGAGAACAAGTTATCAAAGTTATAAATAAAGAATGACACACAATTTAATAAAATTTTTTAAATCAACTTCATGAAGCTATAAAACATTTTTTTGTGTTTTTATAAATAAATGACAAATTACTGATTTTGAAAACCACAAAAGGCCACAAAAAATTGTATTTTTGTTCTCAAAACAACAGAAATAAAAGAAAAACAACAGAATTAAATCAGTTTAGTGAAATTCTTGTGACCAAAAGTACAAAATCAAATCTAAGCACCAAAAACAAAATCCAAAACATGGAAGATCTTAAAAGAAAACCAAAACAAATCGACTATCAAAGTCCAAGATGTTCAACCTCGACAATAGACAGTGACATAGCAGCAGAAATAATCAGACAATATGAAGATATGAAAAATATCACAAATGACAATCTAACATTTCAACATACACAAAGTAATTCTGAATGTCCAAAAGTTCAAAATACAATGAAATTTGATAAAAGTGACGGAATTCATGTTGGTGATGTTATTAACTACTATTGTGGGTCACCGACTTATACAGGTAATTTATAATGCCCTTGTGAATGGTTTTCAAGGTTATGGAACTAGTTTGGAAGAGATAAAAATGACCTTAATAATTTTTAACTTGATTAGAGTAGAGTTGGGATCTTACTAAGATTTAAGTGTTATCATTAGGGTCTGAATCTATTGAGATCATCATGGTAGTTGTCTTGTCCTTAGTCAAACATAGATTAAGCACATCCGAATAGCACAAGTCGGATAATCGAAACGAAATCCTATGCTGGGAAGACACGGGGACTACTTGAGGGTGAACTTCTCATCACGACGATCAAATTCGTCTCGCTTATCCGACTTGTGCTGTTCAGGACAGTTCCTAATTAAACTTTAAGTTTACAGTAAGAATAATCCCTAGACTAGATACGAATTGACAAGTTCCATTGGCTCAATATATTTTGTGGTCAAAAAATCATTTTTCAAATATTTTCAAAAAAATACTTTTCAGCCACAAATCACTCTCATTATAATTCAAAATCCCCAACATCACACTCGGAGAGCACAATAATCTCATCTATCAATATAAAAGAGAGAAAATTACTCTCGTGTGTCTCACGAAAGCACAGACTGTTGATGATAATGATAAGCGTAATTATCATAGCAATTACTGGTGGCATACTTTTTATGATGCGTCATAAACTTATTGGAACCGATATGACTGAAGCAACAACGATAAAATTTATCATACCTACGTCAAGTACGGAGGTGGATATTGATAATACAACGACAATTTATCCAACAACTACAACTTCCGAAGTGACAACATCAACAAGTAAAATCACAACTACATCCACTGAACATGTGACACCCACATTACCGCCGATAATTACACTTGAGTCATTTGTTAGTAGAAAACTGTGGAATGCAGAACAGCCGCGTGCAACAGTTGAATTAAAATTACCAATTTATCGAATAATTATAGCTCATACAGCCAGTGAAAGTTGCAATTCAGAACAAGAATGCACAAAGTTCGTGCAAGAACTGCAAAGAAATTCCACACATTTAGATGATATTCCATACAACTTCCTCATTGGTAATGACTCAAAAATTTATGAAGGTCGAGGTTTTGAGTATGAAGGTCAACACACATCGAATAATGATGCGACTGAATATAATAGTATTGGAATCTGTGTAGCATTTATTGGAAATTATGAGCATGAAACAATTTCAGAATCTCAGGTTAAAGTCTTTCAAGATTTTATAGAATTTTTTAAAGAATCAGAAGTTATAAATGAGAATTACACAATATTTATGCAAGATCAACTTATGCAGACTGATGTTTTTGCTGGTGGACTTTTAGAGACAGTGAAAAATTGTAGTGGATATAGGAAATGTAAAAAAACAATTAAGACATGATGAATTAATGATTATTTACTAAAATTACCTATTTCAGTACAAAAAATTTATCACAGAGCTGAGTGGAATGCAGAACCTCCAAGATTCTTAGAAAAATTCAGTTTTCCTATGAACTGGTCTATTATTACGAGTACTGCAGATCAACTGTGTTCTGGATTTGTAAGTTTTGCTTTTACTAGATGGCTTTAGGTAATTCTAAGCAAAATATTTAAGCAATATGTTAAGGGCGTGGCCGGGCGTTGCTAGAGCGTCAAAGTGGGGTCTCAGGAAACCTTACTCTCTTTATTATTTACGTTATCTAGGTTTTCTTTAGTGTAGACTCTCTAGAGTATACCTTTTTGAGTATACGCTTGCAATACTAAATTGAACTATGACTTAAGCATTTTCGATGTACCAGATTGATTGTACTCAAGCAGTGTTGCAAATGTAGATGTCTACACTAGATGAAGAATGTAGATTTTCAATAATTTTTGTCTAGCTAAGAAACTTTCTTCATAAAGATCGATTCTATATGAAGATAGAAAATCTAATCTACACAAAGATTATTTCTACATAAAGATTCTGTCTACCAGGTCTCTGATGTAGACCTGGAAAAAATGTAGAATTGTAGACATCTACATCGAATCTTTATGTAGACAGAATCTTTATGTAGAAATAATCTTTGTTTAGATTAGATTTTCTATCTTCATGTAGAATCGATCTTTATGAAGAAATTTCTGTCTCAGAATTTATCTGATCCAGACAAATAGCCAGAATGCAACACTGTACTCAAGTATTAATATCATGATTATCATTTCAGACCAATTGTTCAGAAAGAGTCAAAAAACTTCAAACAAAAGCATTCGGTAACAATCTTAATGACATACAATTCGGCTTTTTAATTGGAGGTGATGGTAAGGAACAATATTTTTAAAAATAAACAGCAACATTTTAAAATAGCCAAAAAATAAATCACAGGCCTAATATTCGAAGGACGAGGTTGGGACTACATTGGACAACACACAGATGATTTTGACAATAAAACTATTGCAATTTGCGCCATTGGATCTTATGGCGTACAAAAGCCAACAAAGGCTCTTCTTGATGCGACGCTGAACCTCATGGAAGATGGAAAAGCATTGGGAAAATTAACTTCAAATTATATTGTGAATGGAAGGCAAGAACTTGGTTTTGATCTAGATGGTCCTGGTGGTGACTTTCTTACGGAAATTCGTAAATGGAGACAATGGAAGTATTGGGGATTTTCAAGGAAACAGAAAAATAAATCAAGAAATTTTTAAGCTACAAATTGAATTGTTTGTTTATTAAGGAATTCCAATAACATAAGCTACAAATCATGAGAAATATTTTTCGTTTGCAATAAGCAATAAACATTAATTTTTATGAGTCCAACTTTTACCTCATTCCTTTAAAACTTTTCACGAGCCCATAAACCACAAAAGTTTCCATTCCTTCTATCCAATTTTTTTGTGTCTAACCATTTTGCATTTCTTTGTATTATTTGTATTCCTTTATTTTTTTCCCAGCTACTGCTTATAATAAATTTCTCGCATGAAACATTTAAATAAATTAAGACTTGTGTCGAGTACATAAATGAAGAGAAAATAAAATATAAAAAAAATTCAAGTCAAGCAAGGAAGGACGAAAAGGAAGAAACGAGGCAGCAAAAAAGTAGGAAGAAGATAGAGCTACTGTTCGTCTGCATTGCGAAAATGAATGTTTTATGGAATGTGGATTGTATGGAAAATAAGAAGCAGTGTTGGTTCGACTAGGGTTTGGTGTTTATAAAGGATTTTGAGGCTATGTTTAGAATAAAGGTAGAAATAGCTTCATGCTATTATATTAAACTAGTCTTTTAAAGTTTCAATATTCCTAAACTTTTTCGTCCATTCAAAATAAATCGCATCCCACAAACCAGCATTTAGTCTCACAATCAAACTTTATATTCAAATTATTGGATGTAACCTTCAAAATAATTAATCAAGAGCATCAGAAAACTCCACCCATTGCCATCTAATCAGCATATCCATCCCTGCCAACAAATGAATAAAGAAAACAGAAAAGAACCAAACCAATTGTCAGAACTTGAGTTTTAATAAATGAAAAAAGCATTTCAAATTAAGTTTTTTCATTCATTTCCTTCAACTTTCTTTATTTCTTGTCTGTCTTTAAACAAATGCCTGTAAAAACATCCAACAACACAATTCACATTACAGCAATGTGGTTTTAATGTAAATTTCTCATTCATTCTTTAGTTTTTTTATAATGAAGATTTCTATTTGGCGATTATTTTCTATTTTATTGTCGTGTGGATGTACTTTTCTTTAATTTCTTTTATTCTCTTGCATTATCGTTTATCCAAAAGGAGAAGCGAAAAAAGAGGGCAATAAACACAGCTATTGCGTGACTTTTACTTATCTATTTAATACCAAACTCTTTTAATTTATTTCGTCATTTTGTAAGAAACTTTCTTATTAAAGCACATTCACAATACCTTTGATTATCATTGCGGTTACGGTGAAACGACTGGATTGTAAGGAATCACACCCATATTTTACATGTCTAAAGCGCGTAATTGTTTGCCCAAATAAACTATTTTTTTCGGAATATTTACACGAATTTTGTTTAAAAATAAAGCAAAGTTGAGTTATAAAAGAGTTTGAGGCCAGGAAGTGGCGCATTAAGGGCCGTTATAGCTAAGCATGCCTGAGTTTTGACTTTGGGTGCTACTTAGAGATCCTCAAGAAACAGAAGTTGCACAATGGTTGAATTTAAGGCTCCTTTCGAATCAGAATATAAGCTTTAAATCCTTCTCCATTAAACATCCTGGTTCAGGTCCTTAGCCTATAGAAATATGCAATGAAATTAAATTCCAAACATTGTCATGTTTGCACATGTCCAAAAGTTATGAGTTCTATAAATCTACGAAATTATCGCTCATTAAAACAAGCCAGGAAGTCATAACAAGACACCACAAATATTTCATTCCCCTTCAAACTGCTTTCATAAACGTAAAGCCTCTATGTTTCTCATAAGTAATATAAGCCGCACCTCGACTAAGTTTATTTTATCTGTTTTAATCCTGTTAATTCATATGGGAACACCGTACACAGTTAGATATGCATACATGTTTAGAAAATCTCAACAGCAAACAATCTCTACAAGCAAGCGCTTTTGCCAAGTGAATTGAAAAGGAAGTCGAATGAAAAAGATTTATTATTTAATAAATTTAATTAAAGTTTTAAACGCGTTTAGCGGAAGAGAACAAACAGAAAAGAACGCTGGAAATGAAAGAACAACAGAAGACTGTTTTGATTATTATTATTATTATTTCTAGACAAGAATAAGTAGTTTATGGGAAAACAATAAATCAGGAGCAGTTAAAAGATGTATGATGAGCAGGAAGAGGTGGAGGATTATGATCCTGGTGCTAGGGATGGGATCTACTATTTAAATTCCATTTAATAGTACTCGTCATCATAAAATGTGGCTTTAAACCTAATTCTCGAGGTCTGCTGAAGAACCAAGCATACCCTGTTTTTTCGTTATAAGCTAGTAGCTTAGAAGAATAAAAAAGTGATTCTTTTGGCTCACTGGTAGCTTAGTAACGAGTAGTAGCTTATAACGAAAAAACAGGGTAGCTATAAAGTATCCCTAGAGTTTGACAAAGATAAACCTTCATAGTAAAGCCAAAGAACCCATCCACGATGGCCCTAGAATCCGAATTGTATAACATATTAGTAAGTGTGTCTAATTTAGGCTCTTGATACTCATAAAAATCTACAGCTATGTCCATTCATTTTCAATCTTACTCTAATTCTCAAAGTTTTCCAAATGCTTATCCCTTTAAGCAAAAATTCAATTAACTTCTCACTTCCTACTCAAAAACAATTTTCCTCAATCTTCTCCGCCCAATTTACTTCTCCTCTTACATTTTCATCATGTTCCGTTCCTTAAACAACTTAAGGCAAGTTAGTAAGTACAACTGTATTCAAGAAATAAATGTTTCTGACAATGATAAATCAATGTGATTTTTCTTTTATATCAAAATAATAAAACAGAAATATTTAATTGCATATCCTTATATCCATAATAAAGTTCTGTATCTATGTCTCTGTTGATGTATTTTATGTAACGAAATGTTACATCTCATTAAACGTATTATTTTCAAAAGCATGTGAGAGAGTTAATTTGATTTTCATAACTATACATCATGACTGATGAGAAGTGCATGGAGTAACGTGGAGGCATTTGGGGTGTTTTCCTGAGTTATATATGAGGTATTAAAGGCTGAAGGATGATTGGGTGACATGATTTCCTCTTCAGAAAGTTAAATTCAATGCTAAAGGAACAATGATATCATTCAATAATTTTAAACTTGAGATTTTGGACCATGGACCCGTTTAGCACGTCCTGAATGTTCACACGACTAAATAGTGAATTATGTAATTAGAATCAAACAACAATCGCTTGAAAGTTACTTTCAATTGACTGACTTTTGTCAAGCTCTCGAATAGAACACTAAACTCATTGTCCATTTAATGACTATACATTATATCCAAGGTTCAACTTGGTCGCAGTTATCGCTAGGTTCTAAGACTTTCTTTTAGTATTTTAAAGTTTTTCAACCTAAGAATGTTCAAAGAAAAATTGTTCAAGTTGATTTGACTTGATAAGCTCCTATTAGCCTTGACAAGGTGCTCAAAAATAAAAATATATCACTGACGAAAACATGTGATTGTATCTCAATATCTTACTTACTTAGAACTCTAAGTGTAGATTAATATTACATTATTTCTGTGTGTCAGACGATATCTTTATTGTTGACAACAATAACAACAAACATATTCACAAAATAATGCAATAAAATAGTATTTCTTGACATCCGGAATCTGTAAGTATGGAAAGTTGGAAGAAGAAGTTTTCATTTTCTTCACTGCATTCATTTAAAATTTAAAATCTGTAAATGGAAAAGTATGTGAGGATGCTGATATGATACAAATTTCTACAGACACATATAATATGTGTGGAATGGCAGGCAACAATTCACAATTTTATTTAATTCTATTTTTCCCATTCATACGTTGTAAGACGAATGATAAATAAATAAGCGATGTAAGCAGCACTCTTCAACTCAACATTTACTTAATTCAAGTCTAATGTTTCGTTAAGATTCACTCATGAATGTTTTATACTGTTCGCGAATGTGAATTTTTAAGGAAGAAAGAGATTTTTAAAAATAAACTTTATATTCCCATTCTTCTCATGTCTGCATGACTCGCTAACTTACATCATATACAGTATGATTTCAGTTTCCTTCCTTCATATCTCTTGGGATAATAAAGAAGGAATGGAAAAATAAACTTTTTTCTCTCTGTTTTTCTTTACGTTCTCACTCCTCCGCTTCCTCAAACAACTGCAAATCGGTTTTTCTTGTGTTTACATTCTTGTTTGTAATGCGAGTAATATCCTTTATTATTATTTTAAATAAATTTAGTCTTGCAAACTCTTGTTAATACTTCTGATCTGTTTGTAAAACTGCAATTTATGAAAAGAAAACAGAAGCAGATTATTTTTTGTGTTACTTAAATTTGCGAAAAAAGTTTTTTTAATCTCCACGTGTTTTTTTCTTGTGGATTGAATTTAATTTTTTGGTGCTCGATGTTGAAATGTGATTAAGTCTTTAGTTTGAAATTGATTGTTTTAACTTTTGATCTCGGTTTGATTATTTTTGGAATTTGAGTTTTGAATGCCTTAAATTGGTTTTTTTTGGAAAACTAAGAAATTTTAATTTATAAATGCAGCACATGTAGAAAACTTCTAATCTGTGGAAAACAGTTTGATTTTAAAATTATAATCTTTGAATGAAGATTTTAATTATTTTAACATAAAGATTCAAGATTAAAATTTTGTAATCTTGAAAAATGATCAAAAATTAACAAAACGATGAATCTGATACGAAAAATTCATGTTCCACAGACTTATCGAAACTCTAGGGGGTTTATGTTATGAACAAATTTCAAACTTAAAAAAACCGTTACAAGTTTTAATGGTTTTCTTAGAGTTTTTTTGTTCATGATATAAAAGTTTAAGATACATTATGTTCATTAGTAACTGATTACATAATATTATCACCAACGTTTTATGTAAAACCAGGGCTCGTGGGGAGAAATCACGATTTTTGAAGATTGGAAAAAATCATGAATTTGCTTACATAAAAAATTCTACGTAAAGATTTGCGTAGGATTTGAAAAAATCATGATTTTTTTCAATCTTCAAAATCGTGATTATAAAAAAGTTTTTTTTTTCGAATTTTTGAAATCAGGGTGTGAAATTTCGAATTTTGTGGCAGGCAG